CTTCATAGTGTCAGAGTCTATACCACTTTTCCTATTGTCTTCTTTCTTCTGTCTTCTGGATGTCTCATGACAGGAAGAGATGGAGAGAGGCTCTCAACTGAACTCATGTCAGTCCAGATCCTGATTCTGAGCATCAAGGAATCTGCCTGGATTCTCACTCTCAGTACTCCCCTTGAGTCATCATTCTATCACTGTTGATTCTCTGTTTCTAAGCTTTGTCTTCAGTGTGCCTCCCAGGCTCAGACCAAACTGTAGTTGTAGATTGTCCAGGTGGGAGCCACATTGGCTCTGTCACTAAAGTTCTTACTTTTTCTCTTCATCGCTTAATAGATTTTTGGGTGAATCTGTTCATCAAAAACTATTGATCTTGGTTCCCAAGAGAGCCAATCTGAGGTTCTTGAAATTATTGTAGGATGGAGGAAAGGAAGGTGAAGAATCAGATTCCATCACTTAATTTCTACCCAATCAGTTGTACCCCCTTAGCAGGGTTCCATAACATTACTGCTTGAGCCTTAAGGTTTTGTCATCCTTAGGTTTATATGCAGCCTTTTTTTACCATCCAGACCCAGGGAACCCAGGAGGATTTTTTTGTTGTTATTTGAAAATTTGTATTCCTTCCTTGATTGGAAATGGTAAGAAGAAATAGGATCTTTTTGAATCCTTTTGGACTAGAATAAAGTTATGTTGTACTTTCCCTTCCCACTCCAATCTAGATTCAATATGTGATTAGATCTCCTTGAATCTTGCCAACATGTCCTATTGATGATGTCCTACAAGATCTGACAATTAAGTTCAAAATATCATCCTAGAAAATGTGCTAAATACTTCATTGCTGAATATCTCTATAGTCTCCTTCAAAGTACTCCTCTTGGGAAACTATGCAGTGATGCCAGCACCTAGTCCACCCTTCAAAGCAATTTTGGAACTATTTTTCTGGAATGGCCATAAGAGCTATTGTTGTATTACCCTTAATGTCATCTTTCAATATTTCCTTTATTTTGAGGTAAAGAAGTTACTGGGGGCCCAGATCAGGTGAGTAGAGAGGGTGTTCCATTACAGTCCTTTGTTTACTGGGTAAAAACTTCCTTACAGACAGTGCTATGTGAGCTGGTACAGTGTTGTGATGTAAGAACTGTGAGTTGTTGGCTAAGATTGTTAGTTAAGATTTTCCTAACTGTTTCTCTATTAATGTTTACTTGGTCTTCTATGCTTATTATAGTCAGCCAACAATTTGATAAATTTTTGCAATGTTTTCCTCAGTTCTGCTCCTTACTGGCTTCCCTGAACTCTCTTCATTAGTGTTGGTTTCTCTTCCCTCAGAAAAACATATAATTCATTAGTCTATTGCCATTTTCTCCATGGAATTATCCCCATAGACTTGGACTAATATGTTTCTGATTTCACTTCCATGATTGCCAACTTTAATAAGACATTTAATGTTTATTCATTGCTCTATGTCAAACCCTGCCTTTCTCACGATAGCACATAAAACCACACAACAATAATGAACAACACTTGCAACACATTTTAATAGGAACACAGCTATGAGACACCAATATACCAAGGTTGTGAAATCTTACCAAGCTGTTTATACAGTGCTACCAATGTAAGCACATAGTGGCAAATTCACAGACTTAATCATCAGCCCTCCTATATGTTGTGTGTTTAGATTTAGGCTATGAGGATGAGAGGTATGGCACTGGACTCAAAGCAACCCATCTCATGTGACCAGGGAAATTTATATTAAGACAGAATGGCTTTCTGAATTGTATTCCTGAATTGGATACTTCCCTCTCACACTAATAATGGTGGCTGCATCTCAGTCACAACTGCAGGCAGGGATCCTTGAAATGCAAAGGATGTCATAGACCAGTGATAGTAAGAGTAGCTAAGGAGAAGAGGCTGTCCCCGCACACTGGACAGTGTTTCCATCCTCTCTCTCCAGCAAAAGTCCTGGGTCAAAGTCAAGAAAACAATGCCGGGATTCTTAGAGTGATCATGGAAGGGAGCAAAAAAAAGTGAAGAAAGGCATTTTTGCAATAGATTCTGTTTAATCTTGGAGCCATTGCTGATAAAATTAAGAAAGGATTAGTACCAAGCTGTTGAATCAGCTACTGAGCATTCAGGGAATTCTCCCATAGGACCCCTATAGTTTTCAGGTGACCTCCATATGGTTCAACCATCTGCCATTCTTTATCAGAAATTCATTATTGGACACAGCTTAGATTTTCCTCCTGCCATAGAGACCTCAGCATGTACTTAAATCAGTGGATACTAACAAATCAGGAACTAACTCATGGCTAGAGTTAGTGGCTTACTTCGCACTCAGAATACTCAGAAACCTGCTTGCATAGTACTCTTATGAGTTCTTATCTGTGTAATGATTTTGGTCTAAAAATTAAGAGAACAAAGGTAGCATCCCCATTTTTTTCAGTGGAGGAGACATTTTTTCAGTTGAGTGAGACTAAGCAAGTCTGGATGACGTCCTCGAGGTTATGCAGGTCAATGTTTCCCAGCCATGGTCTGAGCCCAGGTCTTCTGACTCAAACCCAGCACTCCTCCCACACTGTGGGTCACTCTTGAAGATGAGAACCAGCCTTGTCAAAACTAGGAAGTGGACTTCATGTGTCTCCTTTGGGTTTTCTCTATTTCCCTATACCTTTCACTCCCCACCAGGGCCAGAATTTCAAGCTATACTTCCTACTATGTCATCTGGCTCTCACAGATGTTGAAGTAGAAAATTGTCTTAGAATCATTTCTGAAATAAGCAGGGCTGGCTTCATGAACTTACAACCTGTGCACCCAAGATGCCAGGCACAGAGGGGTCTGCACTTGGTTTAATGCTGTACTGTTTCTCTCTTGAAAGTTTTAATAATCTACTGAACAGGAGGTTCTTGTAGTTTTACTTTGTGTTGGGCCCTACAGATTAGGCAGCTGGTTCTGCTCACAAACTTATGACTCGGGTTATGTTTATCAACTTCTCCAACCTCAGTTTTCTCAGCTATAAATCAGAAACAATTTGGGCAGAATAAAGCATATATGATAGTAAATTGGCTGACTTGATTTTGCACACATGTGATTCTCAATAAGTCTTAACTTCTTTATGCCTAGTCTTGGACAGAAACCTCTGTATTAACATCTTATAAACATTGGTAATATTTATACAGGATTTAGTTTTATGTTGGAGAAGATAGTTTCTTAGATTTTGATGTTGTGAAAGGTCATTAAATAATAAGGAAAAATCTCCTTTTTTACATAGCAGTTACTAGTTTAACAAATGTGTAGATTTGCTAAGTGAGGACATGAGGGAAACAAGGACTGTGGCAGAAACATTGGCTAAGAAATTAGTCAATTCCCAGGGCTCTCCAGCCAATACCAGGAGCACTCATACTTTTCAGAGCTTCATCAGTTGGCTCTGACCCTGGCCAAGGGTAAGGTGAGTGATCAGAAAAAAAATGTAAAGAATAAAAAATTCAGGAACTAAGGTTTATTGACATGTTAAAAACTTTGTGGCTAGGGCTGATCTGTCTGGTTCAAATATATTCTTCCATTTAAACTTCCAAAAATGCCCCCAAGGCACATGACATTAGTAGCATTTTGTCGAAAAAACCAATCTCGCAGAATACTTGCAGTTTTAGAGTAGCTCATAGAATTGAGAGTGCTTAAAATGCAAACTATTCTGGGTGAAGGGCAAACTTTGACAGAAAATGTACAAAACTGGATTATGTAACCAAAATATATGTCACCCCCCATAATATTCTGAAATTTAAAAAAATAAAAATAAAATATCATGCAAACTACTTGAGTAGGACTGAACCAGAAGGGGCAATCATGATTTTCTGGATGGTGATAGCAAGTGAATTTTTTCTCATGCCTTAACTGTAATTTTTGTTATGCTTTGCATATTTGTCCATTCCAAAACTCATGTTAAAATTTAATCCCCACTTGGCAGTACTGAGAGATGGGGCCTTTAAGAGGTGATTGGGCCATAAGGACTCTACTCCATGAATGGATTAATCCTCTCATGGATTAGCGAGTAATCATGAGATAAGGACTGTTAGTTTTATAAAAAGAGGAAGAGGGGCCTGAGCTTGCACACTCCTCCCTCTTGCCAAGTGAGGCCCTCTGGTGTCTCAGGACCCTACAGAGAGTCCCCACCTCTGGGGAGGCACTGGCCAGATATGGCCCCTTAACCTTGGATGCTCAGCCTCCATAATTGTAAGAAATAAATTACTCAATTTGAAGTACTCTATTATAAGCAATAGAAAACAAATGAAGATAGGCTGTGTTGAGAAGGATTCTGAGACTGTTGGGACTGGGTGGTATAGAGTGTCTTGGTCATTAGCAATGCCTGCCTTGGGCTCTGGAGACATCGTAGTAGTGCATGAGGCATATATTTGCCATCTGGAGGGAGTCTTCTCATTTTACAGTATGCATAGCCACTAAGAAAGTGGTGTAGTTCCTGTTTATAAGGTGTATTATGGTCAAAGCCTACATTTAGTCTTAAAGTTACTGATGCTTAGGGCAAGGCCCCTTTCACTGTGTAAACAACCAGCCAGTCAACAAACAGAAAGCCAAATAAAACAAAAAGGAATAAATTTACTGACACTTTAGGCATTAGTAGGAAAGGTATTAGGCTGGGAACATTTTTCTTAAGATCCATAAAATCATAGCACAGAGGGTGTTTGAAACTTAACACACATTAGCACCTCCTTGAAGTCTTTGGAAGCCTCGGTTGCTGAGCTCCACCCACAGAACTATCGATTTGGTGGTTCTGAAATGGGACCTAAGAATCGGCAAGTTCCCAGGTGAATCTGATGCTAACTGCTCTTTGAGGGCTGCATGTTAGTAACTTTTCCTTGACTGTTGATTGAATTCCTTTTAAAATGAAACAAAATTAAACATGTACTTTGAAAAATAAATCTGGAAGTCTCTGTCTGCTACCCCATGGGATTTATTAAAAAGAAGTTCTGAAAATTGTATCAAAAATTGTTTAATTAGTGCTTGTCTTGGCAGCACATGTACTAAAATTAGAATGATACAGGGAAAATTAGTATTGCTCCTATGACAGGATGACACAGAAATTCATGAAGTCTTCCCTAGATTTTTGGAACCCCTGTGCACTGTTAGTGGGAATGTAAAATGGTGCAACCACTTGGAAAACAACGTGGAGTTTCCTCAAAAAATTAAAAATAGAATTACCATATGATACAGCAATCTCATTGTGGGGGTATATATCCAAAATAATTCAAAGAAGGATCTTGAAGAGATATTTGCCAACCTGTGTTTACCGTAGTATGATTCCCAATACGTAAAATGTGGAAGCAGCCTAAATGTTCGTAGGTAGGCGAAGGGATAAAAATGTGGTCTATGATACAATGGAATATTATTCAAGTTTTAAAAAGAAGGAAATTCTATCATCTGCTACATTGTGGCTGAACATTGAGGGTATTATGCTAAATAAAATAAAATAGTCACAAAAAGATAAAGACTATATAATTCCACTAATATGAAGTATCAAAAGTAGCCAAATGGCTAGGAACAGAAAGTAGAAGTGTGGTTTCCAGGGGCTGGGGGAGAGGGAAGTGAGAGTTGGTATTCAATGGAGGTAGAGTGTCTGTTTTACACAATAAAAAGGCCTAGAGATCTGCTGAAAAACCATCTGAATATACTTAACACTACTGAACGGTATATTTAAAAATGATGAAGATAGTAAATTTTATGTTATGTGTAACAATTAAAAAAATCATTTGTTTGAACATAACACTTTCTTTCCCTGGAGAAAGTATGCATAGTTCACAACAGTCCTTCGTTGAAGAGACGTCTGGTGGGAGGTGGAGAAGGACTCTGCTTTTGGCCACTTTAAGGGGAACTGGGGCCTTATCCTAGCTCCAGTGTCAGCAAGTCTCCACTTCACTGTGGGTCTAGTCTCTCCCAGGTAATTCTTTTTAAAGGAATGGTGCTAGGTCCAACCCAGAGATTTTAATTTGGTCTGTGATATGACCTGGGTAGTAAAAGATTGCTGAAAGCTTCCCAGATGGTTTGAATTGTAATCGGGGCTATAAAGCATTGGTTGGATCAGTGAATCGAAACTTGTGGATGAATAAAAAGGATCTTCTTGGGAATCTTGTCAAATGCTCTTCCTCCCTGCTCCAGGTCATTTTAATGACCACCACCTTCTCTTCCTCCACTAATTTGAAAAACAGAACAGTAGATGATCCATCATTCCTTTCTCAGATTAAATATATTCATGAACCTTAGATGCAGGAGTTTGAGTTCATTGGAGACTGAGTTTGTACGTGATCAAAGTTCCCATTGAGACTGGTAAGATAGTCTTAGTTTAGGTTGTGTATCTACGCATAGCCGATCTATCCTTTTAAATCCCCAGAGTTGGTTAAACCTCACAGTTAAAATGCAGCATCTAATGCTGCAAACTGTTGAACTATAAAAAAAATCCCATTATTTGTTTATATATTAAGTTTGACAGGCTATAAATAATTTAGAAGACGATCTGAAGAACAAAGGAATAAAATTTCATTATGAGTTAACATTTCTGTGGTGAAATTAGGCCCTGCTAAGGGTGAGTTTCCTTGACTTCCTAAAAACCAGTGGGGTCAGAGTGCAAACAAACAATCCTGAGGAATTATAGTGTAGTGTCAGGCTGTGCTAATTTATAAGAATCCCAAGTGGAAACGACTCCCTGCATATTCAGTCATTATAAGTCAGTTTAGATGCCCAGGAGATCAAAAATTTGGCAGTACAGGAAACAGGGGACTTGCTAACTTAATGCTGTTTAATATTAATTGAACTTAAAAACAGTTATCTGTTTTTAAGATATTCCCAGGCAGAATTCCAGAGTAGAAGAAATACATCTATATTTATATAATATATAGTTAAATTACATAATCATACATTTATTCATAATTACACATTCATATTACATAATATACTATATTACCATAAATTTTAGATTTTTGAATATATTTAAAATAACTGAAACAGAAGAATGGACATACCAAATCAATATTTTCCATGAAATGGGTTACCTGAGAAAATTCACATGAAAATATACCAGTACAGCGTTATTCAGACAAATATACATTCCCTGTACACTGTGAAGAAGGGTAAAATAACACTATGTGCCTTGTACGATGGAGTGGGAGCCGTTGAAGTTGCCCAGAATTTGTGAGGAGACAAGAAGGAGGGGGGGATCATTTAACAGCTGTGTTATATTTATTTTATTTTTTATTAGATCATGACTGTGTATATTACTGCATTTATGGGGTACAAGGTGCTGATTTTAGATACAATTTGGAATGCTGACATCAAACTGGTTAAAATAGACTTCACCTCACTTATTTAATTGTTACGTTAAGTCATTTATACCCTGTTCTTAATATATTTGACATGTACCCTTGTGATATACACAATAGATGAGGCTCCACCAATTACCCTTCCTTTCTCCTGGCCCTCTTCTTCTCCCCTTCTTATTGGGCTATAATTGTGTTTTTATCATTTGTATGAAAGTATGGGTGATTATATATTGGTTTCATAATAGTATTGAGTACATAGGATATTTTTTCTTCCATTCTTGAGATACTTTACTAAGAAGAATATGATCCAGCTCCATCCATGTAAACATAGAGGAGGTAAAGTCTCCATCTTTTTTGTGGCTGCATAACTTCCGATGGTATACAAATACCACAATTTGTTAATCCAATCATGGGTCAGTGGGCACTTGGGCTGTTTTCTTATCTTGGAAATTATGAAATGGGCTGCAGTAAACATTCTGGTGGAAATGTCTTTGTTGTAAAATGATTTTTGATCATCTGGATATATACCTAGTAGAGGAATTGCAGGATGGAATGGCAGGTCTACTTTTAGTTCCCTAAGTGTTCTCTGCACTTCTTTCATCTAACTCCAGTAAGACTAGCCCACATAACAAAATCCCAAAACTACAGACGTGGGAATGGATGTGAAGAGAAGGGAACACTCTGCACTGCTGGTGGGAAGGCAAACCAACAGCTGTGTTTGAAAGCATGTCTGAGAATAACCGGTAACGTGGGAAACACTATAACTGAGGTGGTGCTACTTTGGAAAGGTATTCAATAACACCTAAAAGACAAAAAAAGAGAATTGCAATCTTGGTGAATATTCACTGTATCAAAACTGTGATGGCTTTCCCCTCAGGAAGGTTATCACATTTCACACACAATACAGCTGTCATTGTCCCTTTCCCACGCAGTACAAGCATGTGAAAGACACACCCTGTTTCTGTTGAGCATCCCAATTCCTGTTATAAGTCAGACTTTCTAATATTTAGGTTATTAAGCATTATAAAAATATATAAAAATTAAATGAGGTTCCTCAGAATTAGCTCTAATGTAGCAGACACTGACGCTCGCTATGCATATGGTAGAGAATCGTCAAAGTCAAAGGCTACAGTCACAGAACCTGAGTCCACGGGTTGCAGTCATGCTCTAGTTTTTACAGCTGTCTCTATTGTTTTTCAATAGTTCTAGGATAGCCAAAATAACTTTGAAAAAGAAGAACAAAAACAGAAGGCTAACCCTGCATGTTAGAGAAACGAGACTTGGCTAGTTCAAAATTATATTCTGAGGCAGAAATATCAGAAATATTCTGAAATTTTATGGAGTCATTGATTTCCTATTTACTCAAGGACTAATTTGATTAACTGAACAATATCCTGGAGGTATGTGAATCATGGTTTTGTTGCCAACTTGTATTCTGGGATAAGTCCAAGTAAGTGTAGAGCACAGAGTAAGGGTCAGAAAACTTGTATTCTGACAGAGCCATGACTCCTTAACGCGTACAGATAGAAAAGCAGCATTTTCCTGCTCACCATTATGCATTATAAGGATTAAAGTACAGAAATATGTTTTTTAAAAAACAAAACATTTTGGCTCGGCGCCTATGGCTCAACCAGCTAAGACACCAGCCACATACACCTGAGCTGGTGGGTTGGAATCCAGCCCGGACCTGCCAAACAACAATGATGGCTGCAACCAAAAAACAGCCGGGCGTTGTGGCGGGTGCCTGTGGTCCTGGCTACTTGGGAGGTAGAGGCAGAAGAATCGCTTGAGCCCAGGAGTTGGAGGTTGCTGTGAGCTGTGATGCCATGGCACTCTACCCAGGGGGGCAGCTTGAGGCTCTGTCTCAAAACAAAACAAAACAAAACAAAACAAAACAAAACAAAACATTTTGCAGTCCTGGAACTGGTAAGCATGTAAATTCAGATTTTTAATAACATATATTTTGAGTCTCTAAAGAATGGGAAAAATTACTTAAATATCACCCTTTTTGGTGAAAAAGTGCCCCAAAGAGAGAGTGAGGAATCAACACCTTTGGGGTGTTAGAGCTTGGTGCTCAATCCCATATCCTGTGTGTCATCTTGGACATTAATTTAGAGAAGCAGCATGTAGGAAAGGAGGAAGTATAATCCAGTTACATACTAATTAATACTGTGAAATGAAATCTGTACTGGATGTTCTACTAAATGTTCTATAAAATACTAGGGGCTGCTGGTGAGGATTAAATGAGAACAAACCACGTGAAGACCATGAAGTACAAAGCATGGCTCTTATATTAAGAATTTTGTAATGTTCATCAAAAATATACATCATTTTTGAGTGGCGCCTGTGGCTCAAAGGAGTAGGGTGTTAGCCCCATATACCAGGGGTGGTAGGTTCATACCTGGCCCCGGGTCAAAAAAAAAAAAAAATATATATATATATATATATATCATTTTTAAGCAAACCCTCCTCCCCAGTGATGTTTCATTTTAGAGTTTAGGATAGTAGAAGCATTCCTTTCCAGGAAGAATAATTTAAGCGATGCAATTTGTTCCATTTCCACTATTGAGATGGTTAGCTGGAAACTCAATGCCAATGATAAATCACAGTCTTAATAATTCTAAAATCTCTATCAATGTTGTTTGATCTAGCTTTCCTTCGATGCTAGTTTTTGTTTCACTTAACTTTTTTATAAACCACCTATTCCTTACTGTGAAGAGAAAGAAAGGAAGTGAAAAGATGTATATAATACATATATTACACACATATGATTATTGTAAATGATTATTTTTAT